ACACACACACACACACACATACACACACACACACACACATACATACACACACACACACTCGCACATACACATGCGCACACACAAGCACACACGCGTAAGCTTACAATCACATGCATAATATAAATGAGTAGCAATATAAACAATAATAATCGTAAGCTAGATACACACTCAATGTTATTTTGATGCATGAACTAAGGTCGTAGGTATACTTATACAAGATGGTTAAGGTGGAAGCATTTTGATAGATGATGGTAAAAATGACCTTTTAGAACTTTCTTTGTTACAGATCAGAAAAATAGGTCTTTTACTTCTGACTGATGTTTTTATTTGAGGGAACAAGGGATGTTTGTCGTCTAAAAAGATGGAACTAATTTTTTTTGTGCAAGCTGTTATGTACAATTCACACAAGTAGGGGAATGCGGATGTTGAAATTTGGTGATCAAAGAAGAACATCAACTTGCAGTTACATTCATAGCAATCCGGATATTATGAAAAAACAAGAAAAATGAATCATACGGTGAAATGATGTGAGTTTAACGCCCGTATCAGAACTATTTGGTCATTTAAGAGACGGGACCTCCGAAGGATCGAGCCGAGAGCAACGTGGGACCAAATTGAAGCTCAAACCCCCGAACCCGAAATCTCAATGAAAGGTACTATGAAATCAACATAATGTGCCCAAACCAGTTATGCAACAGGCATATCTGCATATCTGCAGTAATGTTTTATTAATAACATTGATCCTGGTAGGACCTTGCAGACAGTCGGCGTTGAATAAACCTTTCTTTTTAATGACATGATATTGTGTTTATATAGGCGTGAAACACTTACAATGGGCACACCCATCATAAACAATAATAGTCATTGACACTTGAAAAGTGTACAGATCATAAAAGAGAGGCACTATTTGTTTCAATTTCATTGACGAGCTAACAGCAACTTTTCCCGTCTGAGTGTTGTGTCAAAGTATTATCGAATAGTTGTATGCATTACCTAAAGTGATACATGATGACCCTTTCTTTGCTGTTATGTATTTATTTGAAAGTGCACAGACAACAAGGAACAAGTTTATACAAGAGAGATTTAAAGGGGGGGGGGGTCCCACAAACGAGCTAACTCCTTTATTTCTGGACCTAGAAACCTTAAATTTGGCATACAACTTCGTCATGATACAGGTATTACGATGGAAAAAAAAATTGCCCAGATCCAAGACGGCCGCCATTTTTATGGCGGCCATATTGGATTTCACATCATGTTTTCAAATCAATACTCCTCTGAAATTTACCGATGGATTTTATTGTCCTTTGGCACACATGTAACCAACAGGCAAATAAGTGAAACGAAGTCATTATTTTGCGATATCTTATTTCGTTTCGGAGTTACAGGAAGAAGCGTGCAAATCTTGTCAAAAATGCAGAAAACGGTCAATTTTCCAATTTTAAAAAATCATACAATGAAAACCAAGATAGATCTAATTAAAAACGCTGACTATGTAATGTAACCACCCCTAAGTGCCATCAAGATACACCTGTAATCTTCACAGGAGTTTCGAAAAATGTGTCAAAAATTTAAAAAAACATATATTGTTTACAAAAAAAATGAGATACCTCTCTAATTAGTGAAGATAGAATAACAATGTAAGAAGAAAAAATGTTGGGCATTCAACTAGCTACGATCGTGCCAAAGGACAATTAAATGAACAGAGAAATGACTGATAAAAGGCAAAAATATTGTAATACCCAATTTGACCCAGATTGACCAAAAATAGGTGGGACCCCCCCCCCCCCCTTAAACAAAAGTCATATTATATTTCTCCTATTCAATAATAAACTATTAACAGCATTCGCAGCTGTTAATATTAACCTTCCACAAGAAGTTAGTAAAAAAAAGGAAATTTATGGAAAAAAATAGTAGCAAGATATTAAAGGAGAATGGCAGTGACCCAGTTTTGAAGACCATAAAAGAGTACACATGTTTAACATACTTGATGCGGTTAGTAATGCTAAATGGATGAAATACTCACGTGTTGAAACAACTCCATTAATAGCTGAAACAAAAGTACAAACATAGAAATGTATAATATTATAAATCAATAATGTACTGGGACTTTGTCAGATTAGTGTCTAATTTAGGTTTTATTTATAACTGTTGATTGTTATTATTTCTTCGTTTTGATTTGTGTTTAGTTAGTTTGTCTCACGCACCACAAGACATGAATAACCCGACCCCCACCCCGCACCCCCCGTCTCACCCGAACCCACCTTTCCACCAAGATATTCATAGACAAGGGGGCTCTCATGGCCTTGAGGTTAAGGTGTTGGCCTCTCATTCAAAAGGTCCCGGGTTCGAATCCGGATAGCGACCGAAAAATTTTCTTCCCTAAATTTGTCTCCTTTCACCTCATTTCCTGCTCTCTGGCAATGTTCTGTCGTCTACTTTCGTCTCCTCTTTCTGCCCCCACCCCCTCACCTCCTTTGCCCCCTCCTCTGGGCTCCTGATTCTTTCTGCAGCCTTTCTACTGCTACTCCTTCGCTTCTTCTTACTGCTGTCTTTCAGCCACAACCCTGATCTTCTGGTAGGAAAGATCTACACCTAACCTTCTCAGACAAGGGCGAAAAATCTCGGAGGGTCCGTGTGCAAGTTGCGCACGTTAAAGATCCCTTGGTGGTCTAAAATCGATAAGAGTAGGCTTCGGCCGCCACCCGGGCAAAATTCAAAATTTCCTACCAACTGAACTGTGTAACAATCACATATTACATTAAAAAAATAAATAAAATAAAATAAAACAAAACACAATCTCTTTTCTCCCTTTGTGCTAGATCAATACATAAAAAAAAAAATCCCAACCTCTGTTCCCTCTGTTTTCCATCGTTTTGTTCAGAATCTGCTATTTTTTGTATCATTGTAATATTTGAACTAACGCAAAGTGTACTTACCATCACATAAGAGGTCTTTAACTTCAGCAGCTCCGGAACCGAGAGAGGAGAAATTGGCTTCCTGTCGGAAGTAATGGTCACCGGAAGCTAGGGCTAGCACTTCCTGCGGATCGGCTGAGCCAATGCCCACTGATATGATAGTAATGTTCTTACTCTCGAGCTGACGAGCTTCCTGGAGAGGTTAAAGATACATGTAAACAGTGGTGTCTGACAGAATGATGATTCGAGATTGTGCCCCCACTTAAACTTGTTTACCAAAAGGTTACTTCTGCAGAATAAAATCAACAGAAAAAAAAAGATTAATAAAAGAAACAATAAATTCTAAAAAACGAATCAAACTGTGAAGACCCAAGGAATTCTTATAGATCTAGGCATAACCCAAAAATACATTTGATAGATCTAGATGTATTCTACAATTTACCACAACAATTTCTCTATTAAACCAAGCGTTCTTTCTTTTGAGGTTAATAACATTTCATTGGTGTGAATCTGGAGACCCAAAGCATAGGTTTCAACTGGCTAAATATATTTACGGTCTTGACTTTGCTTGGTTCCGGACGGAAGCAACCTATTGTATGTTATAAAAGGCTGTGACATTAATAATATAACATTTATTTAGCGCATTTCCAAAAAATAGCTCAATGCGCTTTACATTGGAATACCCATTTTCAAAACATTTCTTACTACTTCCTTTCTTCTCATGCAATATATATTTATGCTCACTCACATACACACA